TTATTTATATAGTGGTAAAGTCATTTTTTATTGACGGGTTTTTCTAATTGTAGCAATGTATGGCTAGTAAACAAGGTCTCGGGTTCGGTAGCGGGTCACACATTATTTGAATTAAATTATAACGTCTTTTGAGCGTGTTGTAAAATCTGTTTACGCGAGTAGTACAGTTTCTAACTTTAAGTTTAACTAATATATCGCGTTTTAAACCGTTACAGTGTTTTATTTAAATTAATATGACACCACAAAGTTTATCCATATCAACCCTTGAAATGGCTTCTTTACAAAAATTTAAATACCGAAGTACATTTTGCTTGTGAACTGCTTTTAATTTATAATTAAATTAACAAACAAGATTCGAGTTTGGTTGTTGATTATACAAATAAACAAGAAAAATACGGAATAGCGTCGTCGGTCGTCTTTTGTTTTTTTTTTCACATAATACTCGCGTCAGAAAATTATTATATCCATGACATTTACAATTAAATTATCTCCACGTCAAGAAGTGACGGGCAAAACGGAAGGTCTTATTTGTGTATCTGCCACGTTTCCAAATTATGTTATACTCGTGCAAAAATGTGACAGGAATGGCGTACGGATTACGGTTTCCTGTTAAAAAAAATAATAAAAAAATCAATTGAAAGAAAAATGAAAGGACGTCTTAGTCTGTTTATTATCTATGGTTACATATAATTATACTGTTTATCATCTATGGTTACGTATAATGATACTGCTTATTATCTATGGTTACATAAATTATATTGTATTTTTGGCGCTCAATCAATATAATTTTCACCTATAGACACCTTTTCAAGGAGTACGTAAATTATATAAGAAGATAATTAATGAAAGGTTGTTAGGCTAGTTTATTTAATGATAAATTATACTATCGCAGTTGCTAGCAAAGATTTTTATTATATTATGTGAACTTGTATGAAACATTCTTTCGTTAACACAAAAATAATTCTTCATTTCGAACCAGTAGTTCAGGAACTACTAGATATATACTAGATATTTATATTATTAGTACAATCTACACCGTAAAAGTACCCACTGTATAATACACTTATTTAAAATTGTATTCATTTTGAAATTCTCATCGGATAAATAGATGTTCGAAAAGTAAAACAAAAGCGTAGTTTCATACATATTTAATAAGTTTTTTCAATTGAATATCATTGTTACTTTTATTAGTAGAAAGTACTCGTGTATTATTTAACTTAAACAATAAATGTAATTTTTATTTTCTCTCTATTGTCGTTGGAGTCAATGATATTGAATCTGTTTGGCAATAAATAAAACGCCAAAGTAGTTCTACTTATATCGATACCTGGCTGACTAGAACCATAGTGATAAGATTAACACGTTGCAATTTTACTATTGCTATAACAACAACCAAACATTGTTAATCTAAATGGGACACACAAATGTGTCCGCCCCATGCCGTAGATAGGGAAAAAGTATGTTCTCTTTATTATCTCATAGTTGTATAAGCCGTGGAATACTTTTTGAAAGTAAAGATAGTCGCAAGTAAACCGACTAAGTCGGTTCTATTTTATAAGTTAACGGAAGCTAATTGCTTATAGATTTCAACAGTAGGTGCAATTAGGGGAAGCAATTATTCTGGTGCATTGAAATTGCTGCAGAATAAAATATAACTAACATGCATTTTCGAGTCAGCAGTTACACTATTATTGTAGCCCACATATTAGAATATTAAGGTTTAGTGGAGATTTCGACGATCTGGTAGCAACATAGGGGACCACAATAATAAAAAACAGGCTGTCGGTTCGATTCCCATCACGCACAATATAAACCACCTTAAAGAAGCAGCAAGGAACGTTGTGGATTCAAGACTCGCCCGTGCCGTAAGTTTCAAATCTAAATATATTTTTAATGTAGGTACAACATATTTCTAAAATCTATATATTAAACACGTTACGTCTGAAATATCTACGTATAAAGAAGTGGTAGGATTGTCGACATTCCGCCCGGGTCACCATCGTTTACAGATGTGAAAGTTGTGGTAGTCTGTGATTTTTTAATCTCTAAATTATTCTAATGTTAGTGCATCTTGTTTGAGTTATATAGCTGGGTATATAACCTAATAATAATAAAACACTATTATACAAATAAATATGAATACAAGGAATCACAAAATAACTAATTTACATAAAAAGTCAGTGCAAGGGCGGCCTTATCGCCTATAGCGATTTCTTCTAGGCAAAGGTTACCTTGAGTTTTATATTTTTTGTTAAAAAAGTTCCCACATTTGGGTCTCCTATAAGAAGATGAGATGATGATACAGCGACCTGGGACCAAAACTGAACCTCAACATCGGGTGTATGCCACATCAACACTTCTCTCACTTCTTACGTCTATATTAAGTTTTTCGCAATAAAATTTATTATTAAGAACGTTTAAAACTCGAACGCCAAAGGTACTTCAGCTCGCAAAATAAATTCGGAATTCGTCGGAAGAAAATTAAGCAAGACAGACGTACAAGTCAAAAAAGAGCGAAATAATTCTACAAATGGTGTATAGGAGTTTTATTTGACGAGCATATACCTATACTTAAATAGTTAATGCGAGTAGTACACATTGAAATAGAACGCTTCTAACGGTTAAAAATGTAAAATGTAACATATATTTTTAAATTAAACACTTTAACGGTTTAAAACGCGATAGGTATATATTAGTTAAACGGGTCTCCCCGTGACCACGGCTGCTGCAAAGCATCCGAAACGTCGGGCCGAAGTTAAAATCATTTTCAAATAAGTTAAACTAATATATCGCGTTTTAAACCGTTAAAGTGTTTTATTTAAATATATATATCGCGTTTTATTTAAATGGCTTTGGATATTGGGAAATCAACAAACTGAAACCGAAATTCGGGACATCAGTTCACAGGTGAAAATCTGCTGACGGACGGGGTTTTCACTCCAACCACTTACTTAAGATCTAGATTTTCACACGCACTTTATTAGTAAAAAAAATGAAGCATGTTGCATCCGTTGATTATTACGCTTACAATGGTATTAGACCAACGAGTTTGTCAAATATTGGTATGAATAGAATGGTATAGGTAAGTTCGAGCTATATTTCATCATGTACGTCGCGGTAAAGTTAGGCGCGAGTAGCTAAGGTATGTGAATTATAAATATTATAATGTGCGAAATTTTCACATGAAGGTAAACTGTAATAAGAGTAACGACAAAAGTTTTCCGTTAACACAATGAAGTGTGTTCAAGTTAGGATGGTAATCGTAAAATATTATTAACTTGTAGCTTTTTGCTTACATAGCTTAGCATATGCGTCAGAATTAGATTTTTATTGACCTACAACGTTCACTAGGAATTGTAAACTTTTGAAATTTTCCCATTTTATAAACCTTTTATATTTTGCATGATGGCATTATATAAATTAGTGGAATAAATTACGGCACAGCCAGGAATTGAACCGGCATCCACTATTATGTGCTGTTGCTATAACCATTGCGCCAGAGGTGCATGTATCAATAGGTTGCAAAGTGCGACGATGACGTGTCAGACACTATGGACGCCGGGTCAAGTCCCGAACGTGTCGTAATTTTTGTTCAATATAAAATGAGAGCTTCCATATTTGAATTAAAACGGCATATATACGGATATAAAAATCACGACACGGGCGACAGTCGAATGCGGAACCGCGACCATATTACCATTTTACACATACACATATTAAATTAAGTAATTTCGATTGTAGTGAGTACGTATGTGTATACGTATTTATGTGATAAAATAAATGCTGAAATTTCAATTGATTAATATAAATTTAATAATTTCCACATGCGAGCGTATATATACATTTTCCAATAAAAAATAAATAATCGATTTACTCGATTCTAAAAGCATACGTCACTAAAAATACCAAATAAATTGTGCATGTGGGTACTATTCCAGTATTCCATTTCCGAAACCTATCACTAAAAATTCTTTTATACGCGCCTGTACATGAATTCATTGGCTTTTATCTGTTGGCAGGACCGCAATTCACTTACGGACTTAGTTCTTCAAAGACCTAAAAATCTAACGTAATTTAGGTTTAAAAATTGTCGAATGGCTTTCGGACTAATTGCATTGCAATCTCGTATTTCTCATTTAATTGCATTGATTGAGCAAATTAGCAGCTCTTTTGCATTCGCCTGTACCTTGTTAGGTATTCGTTTGGTCGTATTACAATTGTTTGAATTGGAATAGCCAATAGATTTTTGAGGTTTAAAGCTATGGTGGAATAATGCCTTCTCTTATGTTCTGTGGCGAGCAAATGTATGATTAGAAAGACGGCGGTCTTACAACAGATTAAAACATTATATTTATGCTTAGAGAAATAAATAAATTTGTAACCAGTATGTAGGTATGTAGCTGTATTTTTTAACAAACGGTACCTACAAGCTAAATTGGCAAGAAAAAGGTGTCTCGATTTTACACATAAGTAATAAAAAACAAGTTGACTATAGAAAATCGAGTAAATAAAATAAAGTAGCTTAATTTTTTTTTCTACTTATTGAAACTTACACATAACAATATTGTAATAAAACATACCAATGTGTATTATAAACATTTGGTATTTATTTGTGTTTAAATTAACACAGCGTCAAATAAGGTTGCGTATTTTCTTAAGCTGTTAAAAAATTCGTAAATATAGGACAATAAACTTTATATATAATTTGGTACGCATGTATTTCTGCTGTTAATTTAATGGGTTTACGACAGCAACGCGACCGGCTCACCAACGCAATATAGGTCACATTTGATAACTACGCAAAATACAAAATAAACGAACCTAACGAGATTCTTTATCAGACCTAACTAAAAGCAACGGTACCTACCATTCGATCGTCGTGACCAAAAAAATTAATAGAAAATCTGCCGTTACATGACGTCACGAGGATAAAAACTATGTATAAACAAGCATATTTTACACGATAATATTACGTTTGATGTGAAATAAAGTTTACTAACCTCGAATCGAACTTGTGGCCGTCATCCAGAGTACCGGTGTAGTGCATCGTCAGCATGTCTCCATTTTTGGATTTCTCAGTGCACCCCTCAGGAGTACTAACTATCTCTATCTTCAGTTTCGTTACATCTGAATCGGCTAAGGTTATGCTAGCTATCGCCAACACCGCAAGAAGAACGCAGCGCAACGCCATAATAAAGTTACGAAAAGTTTTTCTTGAAGCGAAAACACGTGCTCTCTCTGCGCCCGCTCTAAACGAACTGACAAGTGAATTCTGAGTTGGTTAATGTCGACTGGTTTCCGCCAAATGGAAGTTCAAGATACAAACTTTGCGATGTCTAGCAGGTGCGGTGTGAAATCTTGCATCTCGCTCCGCACGGGCGATGTATGCTTGAATAGAGAGGGACAGCTATAGTTTTCTTGTACATCTGACAGCTGATGACGCGGCCACTATTCGCGCTCGCTGGACGCCACGCACGCGAATGATGACGTGCCGTGATGCATCACTTCCAACTGCTACTGGATCGCGGATGTATTTTTTTGACAATGGCAACACTACACACAATGTAAGATATTAAAAAAAATAGGACAACATTATTTACACACAGATAACATAATTAATTTCGACGTTTCTCAAAATAATCCCATACACACGTGTAACATAACGTATACTATAACAATTGTTGTAACTATGACAATGTCTCTAATAGGTGCTTATACGCTTAATTGGACGCTCCAGACGATAAAATATTTTGGTAACTTTTTGAGTACATAATTGGCTTCTTCATTATGAATATCTCGGTCTGTTTGACCTTGTCAAATTAAATCCAAGTATTATGAGTGAGAAAGTTTGTTTACCAAGGTGTTTAATTAAATATTTAATAACTTACTCGAACAAATTACAAGCCAAGTAAAGTAATCTTACAATATTATTTATTTTGCTTTTTCATTCGGTAATCCACAGATTGAAAGCGAAACGCAATTAAACTTCACTATTGCTTTTATTCTATGGCTATCTAGCTTGCCAGTCGAAGTCCAAAATGTTTCAGAAAAATTATACTCGTTTCAGCTGTTCTGTGTCCATGCTGGACGTAAGCCTCCCCCAAAGACTCCCAGTACGACTGGTCATTCGCTATTTGAATCCAGTGTTTTCCAGCTACCTTGACCAGGTCGTCGGCCCACCTGGTAGGAGGTTGTCCAGGTTTTCGACGTCCGATACGTGATCCGTACGATCCCCACACGACCGCCACTTCAACTGGCTGATCCGAAACTCGCTGGACCCTGTGGGGATCGAAACTAGGATCCGTTGATTAGCCATGTATTTCCACCATCAAAATTTCGAAATTCGAAATTTAAAAACCAGTGAATTAATTAATCTATAATCGCGTCGAACACAATATGGCGCGTCGAATCAGTTTTTCACTTAGCAGTTCCTCCGTCTTACAATTTTGCCTCCCAGTCTCGCTACAGCCGGACAGGGGCGTGAGAATATAAACTCCTTTAAAACAAACTTGTGCCCGAAGACTAATATTTGAATAATAGAGAAGTGTTCGCACCGTCTCGTTGTGTTCGAAGTGTGGAGAACGTAACATTATGTCTCAACTTTATGTTTGGCCTGCCGCCGTGGGGATGCCTTGTACTTTTTGTATTAAATAAACTTTTCGTCGTCTCATGAACCGCATAGAAAACGCTATTTACTGCAGCCCGCTTTACATTTTTTAGTATCGGTAGCGTGACGTCACTCGATAGTGTACCGGGTAACGAATTCTTAAATAACTTAAGTGTTGTCGGTAGTTGACGCGAATAATACACATTTTAATGAATCAAATTTGATACTATACTATTGAAATGATGAAAATTTATAAAATGCAATTTGGGTTCTATATAGAACTAGCTGCGTCAGCGACTTCGGCCGCGTTGAATAGTTATTTTGGGCATCCAAATTTGATCTTTGTTAACCTATTATTTATCTTTATAAATTAAAGCTGTCACCCACGACATCGGTCGCGGACCCTCGCTCGAGGGTCGTCGTTCAGGTGCCGTCGTTCTTGCAAGTTAATCTTAAAAGATAGACATATACTGTCGCATATATTTTTTTAGATCATTTAAAGAGAAATAATTATTTCATACATTATTTTTGGGTTTTCTCCCGTTTTTTTTTCACATTTCTTGCTGTTTCTTCGCTTCGAATAATAATAGTGCGATGCTTTATAGCCTTCCTCGATAAAAGCTTTACATAACACAACAATAATTTTTCAATTCGGCCAGTAGTTTCTGAGATTAGCGCGTTCCAACAAACAAACTCTTCAGCTTTATTTATTAGTATAGATAGAATATAGATAGATTAAATTCTCTACGACCATAAGACCAACGTGGTATGTCCATGGTTTTATATACTGTAATTATGAGCTTTAGGGTCGTATCTCCGACATTATGACGTCAGATGTTGATTGGTGAATTATATGTAGGCAGATACTATGTCGTTCTTGCGGCTTCGCTTACTTACACTCCTTACGGCGGTAAAGGTTTTCTAGACGCGAGGGCAAAGTGATTGAAGTTTCTCCGTGAAATCCAAAACGGAATCCGCTGTGGCGTAATTCATGGGTTTAAGCGGGTGGGCTTTTCAAATCTTTGTGACACATGTGAAAAATAATAAAACACAGGAATAACAAAGTAAACTAATGTTCAAATGTATACTACACTTTTCACAGACAGTGTAAATTATATCACACAGATTATATAAAACTAGCTATTATACTATACTGTTATTATTTTTTCCCAGCAATCTATTTTTAGTAATAATATAATTTGTATACACGTATCTTTTTCTCTAAAACTAGGGACGTACCTCAATTTCTTCCAAAATGTAAGCACACAAAATCAAATAAGGACACTTATAATAATGTTCGTTATTACATCCTCTTATCACTTGTAACATTCAAGAAGCGGTGCGTTATCCGCGCTGCCGAGCCATTTGATCCATTTCATAAATTTGTTTCATAAACTTTTCTCTCTTCTTATTTACTGAATATGTTACGGTAAAAAAATTGCAGTATTTTGCATGTTGCACCAAAATTATATCGTTATAGACAAATTATATAAAAGAGAGATAATCTGAAAGAGATAATGACTTGTCGGAACATGAATTACTCCAGTCCTATAACCTCTAAACAAGATGCTTTTGGCTTTATTCAGAAATCCACAGACTGAAGTTTGAATGGTGGAACGTGACGCGGACGAAAATTCGATTCCTGCCATCCATTAAATATTGAGATCTAAAGTATAACATAACTTCGGCCGCGAGCGGCGTCTTTACCCACGACGTCGGTCGCGTCCCTTCCCGTCGTTCTTGCAAGTTAACATTTAAAGATAGACAGCGTCGCGGATGTTTTTTTTATCATTTAAAGAGGAATCATTCCTTCATACATATTTTTTGGGTATCTTGAACGTTTTTGACCAACCCGATGAATAATTTTCTCATTTCTGGCTGTACCGTTGCTTATATTCGTCACAGGGCGATGTTACACAGCCTATAGCCCTCTTTGATAAATGCTCTAACCAACACAAAATTAATTTTTCAATTCGAACTCGTAGTTCCTGATATTAGCTTGTTCAAACAAACAAACACTTCGGATTTATATATTAGTATAGATTAGAACAAACCTACGATGTTGTTGATTATATTAGTAGTTTTTCAATTTTGGTCTAATAATGGCAAATTGCAACAAACCAATGAAAACTCTGATACTGTATTCGATTTTATCCTCTAATCCTCTGAATTCAATTAAATTAAAAACACCGTATTGTAATTGTACTACAGATTAGAAACTTTTTCGCAACTTTTGTGCAGCCCCTTCGTTTATATTGTTGAGACTTTATAGGAGTTTGCACAATGATAGGGCTTTTGTACGTGTAGACTTAATTATTGTATTCTACCACTATGTAGGTACCACCCAGCTATAAATACTAAGGTGAGTTTAGTTAATCGATTAAGACTCTTGTTCCACGAGTTTGCACAAAAATGTCGATAATATTAGATTTTATAGCATTTGTCAAGGATTTTGAATATATCACCTTCAACGGCTTAAATCGCGAATTATGTAAGTAATAATAATAGGTAACTTATTTTATATAAGTGTGGGCTGATTTAAAACTACTTAATTGTATGCTAATCAATAATTCACGGATAGTAGAAATAAGAATTGTGTGGGCGAAAATTGCACCTGTTAGACACCACGGTTTAATGATTGATCGCATTGCGTTAAGTGCGACAGGTTCATAGTTCGAAACCGGTAAAATTATTTCGTTTCGATCGGGCACAGAATAAAACCAGAATAAATGCATCTGCCACACAGGGAAAACGATAAAATAACTAATATGCACTTTAATAACTCTATTAAAATTGAGTTTTAATTATAATTAACGTGTCAGCCGTTTAAAAGGAACTCGCCAACCCACGGGGAAACTTTGAAAAATTAATAATTCTGTAGTAGCTGATTTTTGCAAAAGTTTCGCAAACTAAAACTAATGGACTATTTTTTACCGTTACATAGAATAAAACTCTTTTGAATTTTCACTACTATATTTATTATTACTGCCACGTGTTAATATTAAATTTCCTACATTTTTTTCTATAAATCGGTTTAAAGAACACGTCAGTAGAAATGTATTGCGACGTAACTACAATGTTATTTTAAAAGTTTTATCGTTTATGGTAGGTATATAAACAAAATTGTTTTTTATATGCCATAAACGATAATGTATTTAACATTTTGTCAATTGTACTTAAAGTATTTTATAGTCCAATATAAAATAAAGAGATTAAAAATGCGGTCGCACTCAGTAATTGTGTCTATGCTTACGTGTGTAAGCTTGTTGCAATACAAGAAGTTAAAACAATTGGCACGTCAAGCAAGGCAAATCAGATATAGATACCGATTTCCTCATTTATCCTTATACAAACGCATACTCAACCAAACTAACAAGATTATTTGTTCCCATTTTTTTACAATAGAAACTAAACAAAATCTTAAATCTCTTATTTATCCTCATAATATTGTTATGTGAGTAATTGTGTTAAGGAAAAATGTAAAAAAATCTATGTATGGTAATAAATTATGAAGAACACAATAGACGCCGCCTGGCCCTTTAAAACAGGGTTAATTAAATTTTAATTATCGCCAGTGGTCAAAAAATAAAATAAAAACAACAATATTTTCTATTATCAATCAATTCCTTTGGAAGAATCAATTTAGAATGGGAAAACCATCGAACTAAAAAGAAAGAACAATAGCCAAATCGTACCTGACGACCAGATATGTGTTGTATATCAAAAAATCCTTTAGTTTTTCCCATGAAGTATTATAATTTTTCTTCCAAATATAATATTTGAGAATGATTATTTATTTTATTTTTTGCTTTTTATTTTTTATACGTCAAACGGAACGACCGGAACGATTGATGTCATCGATGCGCAATAAATTCAAAATTGACATTTAGGATCACTAGATGACAGGACTAGATGGCTGACAGTTGTTAATTTGTTATTGCCTTTGCTTAGATACGAAGGTACCTACTGTATTTTGAGACTCCTTTATTTTACTCTCCCACAAACTTAGTCAGATTTTTAAAACACTTTTTTATATACTTAACGAAAAAGCTAGTTTAGATTATTAATTATTTTTTTACTGAATCTAACCTCGAAAGTATTTTTTGAAGATATTAAATTGAGTTAGTTTTTAGAGTAGTATTTAATACATCCAAGTAAATCAAACCCTTCGTAATTTGATGGCTTTCCCATTCTGAATGGATTCTGCTAAGGTCCATGAGAGAATCCTCTCAAGCCAAGGCGAGATTGTATAAATTCTCATAATATAAGCGATCACAGAGACATTCTACTGTAAAATCTAGTTATTCACTCAACAATAATACTCCTATTAGAGACATAACGTCTAGAGTTGTTCATTTACTTTGAGGGGCCAATTGGATTCCAGGTCCATATAAAATGCTGGCCAATTCCCGTTCTCCTCATAGGGGACGATTACAATTAACAAAAATAGTCATTATATTTGTGGGAGTCTCTACTACTATGCCTTGGCAAGAATGGAGAAGAAATAGACTAAAGTTTGGAAAGATTTTAGAGAACCATTGAAATGTTCTAATCTGAATTCATGGAACTTCAATTCCAAGGTTCAATTCTATGGACCTTTAATATAGTTGTGGAGAATTTGAACACTACAATGTTGATGTCAATATCTGAAGACTATTACCATTTAAGTACTGATCAGCCTGTTTTTGTTCTGGCACTACAAAAACACACTTGTCTTTTTACATGCACTGATCATATTGTATAGTTGGGCAATGATTTATAAATGGTTCTCTTAAATAGTTACTATCTAAACATTCCTTTGTGTAAGTATTAATTTCTAAACCTGCATCCGTCAACTGAGTACCAAAGATATATAAAAAATTTCAACTAAATTCAAGTTACTTTAAATCTGAGTTTTCTATTAAACCATGTAACTTGAGATAAAGTATGTTTGTCATTTTGAAATAGACTTAGTCTGAGAAATGATAGAGATTACTGCAGCATGTGTTAGTGGATAATATCTGGGTTTTGGTAAGAAAAAGGCATATTTTTTTCCAACCTTTATTTCCTTTTATTAAACACACTTAAGATATTAACTAAACATGCAAATTTTCAGTCATTACAAAGTTTATTTAAAGCAATGTCATGTCGTGACAATCAGTATATATTCCTTAAAGTATAAACTTTGTATCTTTTATAATTATCACCAATCTAAAGTAAGAAGAGAAATAAACCTTCACCGATTACAAACCTACAAAGATTTCCTTATTTCATAATAACACAGAACAAATGTAAAAGATCCTAAAAATACTCATGCAAAAAAGTAAATATACGAAAAACAACTTTGAGTCTGTATCCGCCCTATAACAAAAACATCTTTCTTAACCTATCATCACAAAGAATATATCACAAAAACCAGATCATTTAAATTACTTAATGGTAGCAGATGAGAGGTAGCTTATAAACTATTTTTACTTCTAAGCTTCATTGGAAATGTAACAAGCTCTCTATTTTCTCTAAAACTATGCTAAAAGCAAAATGTACCAAATAAGTTTTGATTTTCTGGCTTAATTTTGGTGGATATATAATTGTAGGATTTCAGACTTGCTAGTTGTAGTGGATCTAATGCTACCAGCACTAGCATTTCTTCCTTAAGTGGTCTTAGAACATTCGATCTCTTCTATAAATCAGGGTATCCTGATCTACGAGAGGCGGACTAGAAAAATGATACTTCAAAGACATGCCAAGAAGGGACTCTAATGGCACCTGTTCTCCTGGGACATTATCTTCCGGAGATTGGAGAAGAGCATAATAATATTAAACTGATTGTTCAGGTTGACAGACAACATAGGGTATGCCCTCTCCAATAGAAAACTGATCTTGCCTCCGTTAATCATATGATGAACTGTTAACTCTGTAACTGTCCTATAACAAAAACATCTTTCTTAACCTATTGTCGCAAAGAAAATATCACAAAAAACCAGTTCATTTAAATTACTTAATGGTAGTAGAACGAGTAGAAAAGAGTTAGGTTATAGACTATTAATGTTGGTTTCTAAAGTTCCTTGTATATTTAACAAGCTCTCTATCTATGTTTTTAAAAATATGTTCAAAACAAAGTTCATTAAATAACTCTTTGTTTTCTGGTTTGATTTTGTTGGACATATAATTGTAGAATATTGGATTCGCTAGTTGTAGTGGATCTGATGCTGCCAGCACTATCATTTCTCGTGTAAGTGGTCTTTTGGCCCAAAACATGCGATCTCTTCTATAAAGTAGCCTGTCTTGGTCTAAACGACGCGGCCTAGAAAAATGATACTTCAAAGAAATATCAAAGAGAGACTCTAATGGCACCTGTTCTACTGGAACATTTTTTTCCTGAGCTATTAGAAGTGCATGAGCTATCTGAACATCAAATACATTTCTTAATATAATATTAAACTGATGGTACAGGTTGACAGACGCCACAGAGCAATTATGAACAATTTTAGTTACATTTGGGCTCTCCAATAGCAACCTGATCTTGCCTCCATCATCCTCGATCATTTCTCGACATGTCTGTACATCAAAAATATAAGCCCTGCTGTCCATTGTTGCGATTTGGAGTAATGTTACAGTGCCGGCAACCCCTAAGTGCAATCCTTGACAACGAAAAGATATAACTGGGTTATCAGAATTCATAATGGAGTCTATTAAAGTAGCGCATTCGGGAACACTGGATATAAGTGTCGTTCTATTAAAAACCTTTTTCCATCCTTTACCCAAAAAGTTATCCTTAACAGTCATTGGCATATCATTAATCCAGTAAAATAATCCTAGAAACAGGAGTTCTTCGGGGGTTTCGTATAATGGATACCACACTTTTCGAGGATATATTGATTGAATTAGTGAATATAAATTATCTACTACCACAGGACAGTTAGCTGAAATGCATAAACCTACATAAAGGCTTATAAAACTGTCTAGGTCACCAAACTCATTAGTGGGATGAGGTGTTTCTTGCGGCATCATGCATTCGCGCGGCAAGCCGGCTCCATGACGCGTTGCTATAACCTCAAGTAGCTCACGTTTCGACCATTTGGTTGCTTTCTCCGAAAGTTCCTCCAGTGTATCGCCGTTAAAAACCACGCGCTCCACGAAGTATGCACTAAGAGCTCTAAGATCTTCTTCGGAATACATGCTTTTAGAATTATAATTTGTATGTAATATTTCTTTAACCAACAAATTACAATAGAAGTGTTGATGGCCACTGTCACATAAAATGAATGATATGAGGCTTTCTGTCACCTGTGCATAAATCACAGAATAATCAAAAGTTTTATAGGGACTAAGCTTCTCAAAGGTACCGTGTGGCATTGGTATTCTATAAATTATTATCGGCGACTTGAGTAACGGTCTAAAATTTACTACGAATTAAAACGTTATTCGTAGAAAATATAACGATTTTTTAAATTGCTAAAATGCTTAGTAACACATAAGCAAAAAAAGACTAACAAAAAAGTTAATAAGCTGCTAAGCTTCAGCTTTCGATTATAACACATACCTAAACACAATGTTCACTGTTCGTTGAAGATCAGCTATTTCCCGTATACTTACCGTTTATATCCAAACGTCTTAAAATAACATCGTTGTTTTATATTTTCAATTACGTGAATATAATTTTATTGCATACAGGTTATTTTAAAATTTAATATTTTATCTATAAGTCAATACAAATGTGTTTTTATATTCTGGCGTAGTTAAGATTAATTTAATTTATGTACGAAATCCGAATGTGTCATAGATAGTATGTGTCATATTTATTCATATAGAACCGAAATATTCCTAACATTTAAATAAAATTTAAGGATTGCTATTCAAAAACACAATTTCTTGAATATTGAATTTTTGTGCAAAATACTTAGATTATGATTGGGTACTAAATTGGCAGATGGCTTTATATATACATTATAAAAATATAATATAAATAATTTCTTATAAAAACCATCTCCTAATATGAATGTTATAAAAAGCTGTATTTAGTAATTTGCTTTTTGTTTAATTGCTCACTACTAATAATGAATTTTAAAATTGTTTGCTTCTTTTACAGGGCAATTTCAATTTTATTGCATAAAACACTGCGACATAGCCCGACAAAATTGGGAGGTCAGTGCAAATGCCAAATGGTAAATACATTATAGGTGTGTAATGTATTTATCTTTGACTCTCTTTTTTTAGACGTATAATAAGACTCAGCGTCAATGTTGGCCAGATTGCAATCCATGAATGTCACCTGTGGCCAGCTGATATATTATTCTAGTAGTTTGTCTGTCAAGTTAATGCTGTCATAGTATTATTTAAAATTTAAATTAAATATTTTTTAATTTTAATCTATTAAGTACGTAGTACTCGAGTGGTACTAGTTTGCATTGTTTTTTGCACGTTATTAAAACTTATGTTAAACACGTCATTTATTGTAACGTGCGAGATATGAGAACTGCGAACTCTTTATGTCTATACTCGTGTAAGGCAAAATACAGCCTTGCAAGCTTTTTCCAGGAACACATTATATTGTAATCATAATACTAGTAAGGTAAGAATGTTTAAAATAGGAAGGAGTTAAGTTTTCATACCTAACTTCTCAAGTTTTGAAATATGTAAACAACAACAAACCTAATAGAGTTTTCTCCTGAGTTCTGTGTGAGTTATGAGAAAGAACAAGGTCCTGCGAAGTAGTTAATTAGATCTATTTCTTATTGGTTGCAGAACTTTAAGAAACAAAACGCCTAGAGTCCGGCTTCATCAGTGGTAACAGAAATGCACCAGTGTTAATTTACCGTTTGAGAGAATAAAAGTGCTAACCAATTTTCTTTTTTTAATTTATCATCCCCAACACTAGCTATCCCTGTCATTGAAGTTTTAGTTGGCACTGAGCTGATTACAAATTGATCGATTAAATATTTTCATCAAATAGAATATTTGCAAAAGAAAATAATGAGGATCATAAGATTTAATTAAGAAAGGGAAAATTACATTGAAACGCAGACAGCTTCTTTAATGCTATTGATGAACACATAGTACCTGGCATATTAAATATCGACAGGTTCTACAATCGTTATACTATAGTAATATTGATGCTGTCTTATAATACATTATCTGCCTCTGTAGCTAAATGGCTAAACAAACGCGAGAGGTTCTGGGTTTGAATCCCAGGGAAACATAAAATTGCTTTGGTCGGGCAGAGCGCAGAAGTCTGATCAACTACTTGCCTGTTAAAAGAACGGATCAGTGGAACGGACACAGAAATGTGTTCTCTCCTTGCCCCACGAGGGGGAAACAAGCTTGTTGATTGATGAGAGATTTAAACTGTGCTGCTTAAGCGTGACAATTTCCTCCATGCGTTGGTTCCAGTCAAATACTTCTTATGTAGAAAGAAATTTCAGATCAGAGCATTTCCATTGCATTGCATTGAGCTGACTTTAATTTTAAATTATTTTCTTGTCTATATGCAACATAATGCACTTTTTGGGGTCAGTAATAAGTATATAGGTGAAATACCTTTAAATGCGCTGTTACTACAGTACCGTTAAATAGTATTTTAAGTGTATATAATGTGTGTGCCCATAATTAAAGTTTTAAAAATGGAATGACTGAGTTATTTATCCATCTCTAATACCCGTATATAACAAGGGGGATGCCTATTATAGGTTATAAGAAAGCGATCGATTTGATTTTGAAATGGACACCATCAAAATCAGTTTGTTTGCATTTCATGTTATTGGATTATTGTTAAGATTATGTATAAATTGCTGATGTCCAATAAGATCATATAATTATCGTAGTCACATAATTGTCTCATAATATGTATAAGCAGCCACGGAGACATTCTACAGTAAAATCTAGTTATTTATTCACTTGACTAATACTGTATGTTAAATCAACACAGAATTCCTACAAAAGAGACATATATAACAATTACACTCATCCATTTTCTCTTAGAGAGATGATGTCAATATAATATGAAGATTATTACCATTAAAGTACTGATCAGGCTGTGTTTTTGTTCTGGCCCTACAAAAAAATACTTGTCTTTTTACAAGCATTGATCATTGCATCGCCTTGTTGGATAATGATTTAAAAAGGTTAATCTTCTGCACATCTGTAGTTAATTTTTGTTATTATAAAAGTTTAGTTTTGGAGTCACTTTGTGTATGAAAAAGAGGTCAAATTATAATGTTAAGTACCACTTAGTAACTACCAAGGATAAATTACAAATTTGAACTGTGTTTGACTTAGTTAAAATCTATGAGATTTTTATTAAACTGTGCTACTAAGGAATGGTACCATTCACTGCAGACCAGTGATACTAGATAATATTTAGGTTTTGGTAAAAAAAGGCATAATTTTTTCAAATGTTTATTGCAAAATACTTAAGGTATTAACTTACATGGAAATTTTCAGTCATTACAAAGTTTATTTAAAGCAATGTCGTGTCATGACAATCGGTATATATTCCTTAAAGCATAAACTTTGTATTTTTATAATCATTCCCAATCTAAAGTAAGAACAGAAATAAACCTTCACCGCTTACAATCCTATAAAGTTTTTGTTATTTCATAATAACACAGCACAAATGTAAATTATACTAAAAATACTTGTCTTAAATAGTAAATATACCAAAAACAACTTTGACTCTGTAACCGTCCTATATCAAAAACATCTTTTTTAACCTATCGTCACAAAGAAAATATCACAAAAAACCAGATCATTTAAATTACTTAATGGTAGTAGAAAGAGTAGAAAAGAGTTAGGTTATAGACTATTAATGTTATAAAGACTACCAAAGTTCCTTATATATGCAGGTCTCTATCTATGTATTTAAAAATATGTTCAGAACAAAGTTCATTAAAAAACTCTTCGTTTTCTGGTCTGATTTTGCTGGATATATAGTTGTAGAATCTTGGATTCGCTAGTTGTAGTGGATCTGATGCTGCCAGCACTATCATTTCTTGTGTAAGTGGTCTTTTGGCCCAAAACATGCGATCTCTTCTATAAAGTAGCCTGTCTTGGTCTAAACGACGCGGCCTAGAAAAATGATACTTCAAAGAAATATCAAAGAGAGACTCTAATGGCACCTGTCCTACTGGAACATTTTTTTCCTGAGCTTTTAGAAGTGCATGAGCTATCTGAACATCAAATACTTTTCTTAATATAATATCAAACTGATTGTACAGGTTGACAGACACCACAGAGCAATTATGAACAATTTTAGTTACATTTGGGCTCTCCAATAGCAACCTGATCTTGCCTCCATCATCCTTGATCATTTCAGGACATGTCAGTACATCAAAAATATAAGCCTTTCTGTCCATTGTAGCGATTTGGAGTAAAGTTACAGTGCCGGCAGCCCCTAAGTGCAATCCTTGACAACGAAAAGATATAACTGGGTTATCAGAATTCATAATGGAGTCTATTAAAGTAGCGCATTCGGGAACACTGGATATAAGCGTCGTTCTATTAAAAACCTTTTTCCATCCTTTACCCAAAAAGTTTTGGTCCTTAAGAGTCATTGGTATAACATTAATCCAGTTACATAATCCTATACACATGAATTCTTTGGGGGTTTGGTATAATGGATACCACACTTCTCGAGGATATATTGATTGAATTAGTGAATATAAATTATCTACTACCACAGGACAGTTAGCTGAAACGCATAAACCTACATAAAGGCTTATAAAACTGTCTAGGTCACCATACTCATTAGTGGGATCAGGTGTTTTTTGCGGCATCATGCATTCGCGCTGCAAGCCGGCTCCATGACGCGTTGCTGTAACCTCAAGTAGCTCACGTTTCGACCATCTGGTTGCTTTCTCCGAAAGTTCCTCCAGTGTATCGCCGTTAAAAATCACGCGCTCCACGAAGTATGAACTAAGAGCTCTAAGATCTTCTTTGGAATACATGTTTTTAGAATTAAAATTTGTATGTATTATTTCTTTAACCTACAAATTACAATACAAGTGTTGATGGCCACTGTCACATAAAAAGATTTTTTTTTTCATTTGTGGCAAGAAGAATTATTGCCACTATTTGCCAGTGTCAAGTTAAAGGCTGTGGTTAAAGGTAGGGAAACTTTACACGGAGAAAAAGGATATGACGGCTTATATATCGTGCAGGAGAGTTAGGCAAAATTAATATAT